GACGTGTTTCTGTCAAGGAAATGCTGAGTGGGGGTTCGAATGATTCCGGAGATTAAACTCTATCCTTCCGTAAACGTAGGAGTCCGATCAAGTGTTTGGCAAACACGTGCGCGCCAATATCGGATATTGAAATAATTATCCGTGTGAAACAGTGGGCATTGACTTTATTTCCGTGAGGAGTCACATCCGCCATATCGCAGTGTCCTTAAACAGACATTTTAGCCTTTTATGGGAAAACACTTGCCAGGAGCAAACCCACCACATCCTGGAACACTGCCCAGTATTACAATGTAAATAGCATTAAGATACTTGTAAAGCCTTTTAGGACCGATTTTCCGAACAGCTAATCGCAGTCATGGTACATCCGATTTTCCGTTGGCTCAGCGGAAAGCTTAGTCAGGATTCACCGGTAACGGTTGGGGCCGGCGGTACCGTTTAGAGATTGGCAGTGTAATTTAGGGTGCTGCGTTACACCGGTGAGTAGGGAACTCAACTCATAAGTATTATCATTGCCTGAGCAAATAACCCACGGGCCAGGTGGGTGCCGCTGGCAGGTCCACCAGAAATAACCATGGCAGGGAAGTGGGACGTTTGCATGGAGATACAGCCTTTTAAGAGGATGTTTCGAACAGTCTTGGAGCTTGCTTTAGTCCTTAGAATCAGGTATGGTCGAGCGCAGTAGCATGGGCTACAGACAATATGCACCAGAAAGGTATAAAAGCTGGAAACCACACTGGCGAGGTGGGTGAACTATCCATGGTATAGTGGAGCCAATTAGATGAGCCTACTGACACAAGAAGAAAGTATCACTGCAAGATGTGGGTAGAACGCTCAAAAGTTAAGCTTAGGAAAACGTTTATTAAACGAGAGAAGCTAAAAGTAGGGCGCTAGGAGAGGACTGAATAGTGAGGATGTGGTTGGGCATCAACTGCGTGGACGGAAAGTCTCTCGCAGTGGAATCGCGAGCACCTAATGCGGATATTGTGTTCGTGTTTCAAATAAAAGGGGACAACGTACCAATAGACAAACAGTTTAATTTGCTAACACATAAGATAGCTATAATTTTACTATATTTTAGAGTAGTCTACGCAACCATACGGGGAAGCTCCAGGTACCTACAGACTCCTCTAGCTTACTGGTGTTGGTGACATGGCCTTATAGACAGAAAATATGCTCTAAGAGAAAATACTTGCGACATTTGTCTAACAACGTGTTGTGTCCCCAGGCGTTCGACTTCTTAGATTGCGCCCCACGAGTCAAAAAGACAACGCACCGGACAGGAGGTATATTTGCGGAACACTACACGGGCCGGCGTGGGTATGAAAACACTCTAAGTCCAGTTCCAATCACGGCTGAGGGCTAATTTGAATTTATCGATCTCAAAGAACCACGGGACGTGTGAGGGGTATGTAACAAGCGGTAGTAACAAATGTTCTGCAACATGGAAAAACACTAGTCTGCTTGTAACTAAGACTGTTCTAATGCAAGGCACACGGTTCCTTGTGGGAAATCGCGCACTTACCTTTCCGAACAAGTCAATTTGTTTCGTTTCTGTGCGCATTTGACTTTGGTCTGTGTGAAATTCTGTTTTTCCATCCAAGTTACAAGATTTGGCCTGAATCAGTGGCGCCAACTCGACTTGATTTTCAGACAACGCGATTTTCCTTGGAGCAGGCCGTTCGAGACCTAACACCTCCCCCTTGTTGAAATAGTTGAGCCGGTATTGGTATATGTCTTCCTTCGGGGGTCTACTTGCATGGGCTGCACGCATCTTCTTCTCCGTGTTGACCTTAGTTGTTTTTCATTTTCAGCTCGTTCCATGGGTTGTGTATCCTGTCTAATCGAGGTGCTTGGCTGCGAAGTGTACAACAATTCATTGAACGCAAATCCTTCGGAATGGCGCGCCTCTTGTATCCTTGTAATCCGCGGTCGTAGTTGGTTCGCATGGCGAACCCATAGCTGTCTGCCAACACGAACATCGTACATTACTTTTCCGCGTCGTCCTACTACTTGACCTGGTATCCAACTGATTTGACGCCCTTGATAAGAGGCAGCAAACACTGCGTCACCAATTCTAAAGTTTCTGTGCCGTGCTCCATGTCGCTTGTTGTATTGAGTTTCCATCAGTGTATTCGTATGATGTATCGGTGGGCGTTTTGGAGTCATCAAATCTAGCGTCGTTCTCAGTCTTCGACCCATGAGGGCTTCAGCGGGTGACTTTCCATCTGGTGCATTGGGATTCGGAGTAACCCGATAATTTAGCAGAAAATTTTCCAGCCTTTCATCCAGGGTCCCCTCCCCCTTCGATTTTAACAAAGCACGTTTCAGGGTATCAACATACCTTTCTGCTTGGCCATTGGATTGGGGATGATACGGTGCAGTCCTCATATGCTGGATTCCATTTTGTGCACAAAAGTCAGCGAATTGATAGGAAGTGAACTGTGATCCATTGTCTGATACGATCGTTTGTGGCAGCCCATACTGACTGAAAACACGCTTCAGTGCAAGAATTGTACTGTTTGAGGACGTATTTCGCATCACAATAACTTCAGGCCACTTACTGTATGCATCGACAATGACGAGAAAGAAAGTTTCCTCAACTGGACCCACAAAGTCCACATGTATTCGCGACCAGGGTGATTCGGGACGCGGCCACGATTGTAATGTTGTGCGCACTGGTAACTTGGAAACACTGCAGCATTTAGAACAGGATCGTCCAATGTCTTCTATTTGGCTATCCATTGAGGGCCAAAACACGTAACTGCGCGCGAGTGCTTTCATTCGGGCGATTCCTGGGTGACCTTTATGCAATTGCCTCAGAACTCGTTGCCTGAGTACTTCGGGAATGACAAGGCGATCTGCGAAAAAGAGACAGGCATCGACTTCAGACAGAGCATCACGTCGTGTGAAAAACTGTGCAAGCGATTTGTCAGGGCACTGCTTTGGCCAACCTCGTCTTGTATAAGTCAAGACTTTCTGTAGCAATGTGTCCCGACTTGTGGCTGCCTGAACCGTTCTTGCAGTTAGTGGTAAAGTACTCACGGCATCCTGTATCATGTGGCTGATATCCGTGTCGGTTGTGATTGAAGCAATGACGGCATCCTCCGGCTCACGTCGACTAGTATCGATTAATCTGGACAGAGCGTCCGCTTGCCCAATGGAGTCAGTTGACGAGTACCTCATGTTGAATTCGTATCCCAAGAGCAAAGTGGCCCACCTTTGAAGACGACTGGCTGTATATGCCGGAATACCCTTTTTGGATCCAAAAATGGCGAGTAGCGGTTTGTGATCGGTCACTAGTGTGAAACGCCGACCGTAAATCATTTTGTGAAATTTCTGAACAGCAAAAACAATAGCGAGGGCTTCCTTCTCAATTTGGCTGTAGTTCTTCTCAGAGGGCGTCAGGGCTCGTGCCGCATGCGCAACGGCCTTTTCTGAACCATCTGGAAAGCGGTGTGAAATGACTGCACCGATTCCATAGCTAGAAGCGTCTGTTGTTAGAATGATCTCCAGATTAGGATTGTAATGGGTGAGCAACAGATCTGATTTTAGTAGCGATTTCAATTTTTCGAATGCCTGTTGACACTGCCGGGACCATTTCCATTCGACATCTTTCGTCAGCAAATGATTCAAAGGTTGACGCAAGCGATGCATCGCTGGCAAAAATTGGCCATAGTGACTCACCATTCCGAGGAACGATCTCAGAGTTGTGACATCCGTTGGTGTGGGCAATCTGTCTATCAGCTCAATGTTCTCGGGGTCGGGATGTCGTCCGCGTTCACTGATCACGAATCCCAGGAACTTAACAGACCTCAAAAAGAATTTGCATTTCTCTGCACGTAAACGGAATCCATAATCTTTAATTCGCATCATCACATCATCCAGTCGTTGGAATAGTTCCTCCTGTGTGGTGCCCATAATGATGATATCATCCAGATAGGCTGCAGCTCCAGTTACTCCAGTCAACATGGCATCCATAACTTGCTGAAAAATTGCTGGAGCGGTTTTAACGCCAAACGGCAGACGATTGTATTGGTACAGACCACGATGAGTGTTGATCGTGAGAAGCTTTCGACTTTCAGGTTCAACTTCTAACTGTAAATAAGCATCAGCCAGATCCAAAGTAGCAAAATATTTACCACCATTCAGCTTCGCGAATAGATCGTCAGGAAGTGGGAGTGGGTACTGATGTGGTTGTAATGCATCATTTAACCCAGTTGAAAAATCTGCACAGAGGCGAATAGAACCGTTCGGCTTCTTAATTACGACGATAGGAGCAGCCCACGGTGAGAAATTAATGGGCTCGATCACACCAATTTGCTGCAATCGATCAAGCTCATGCTCAACCAGTACTTGAGATGCATACGGGACCGGACGCCTGGGTCGAAACACGGGGGTAACGTCAGGTAATAAAGTAAGTTTTGCCTGCATCTTGTTGCAATGTCCAAGTTCCGGTTGAAAAACACTGGCATATTTTAGCTGAAGCTGTTCGGCAATAGTTTGACGTGGATGAGGTGGCACGGTTGTATGATGCACCATGACGTTCGTTTCGGAACACACATGATTCAATGGCACACTAAGCAAATTCAATCTTTCGATCCAATCAATCCCAAGAAGATTAATGTCAACAGAAGAAATGAGGTAGATGGTTCCACAGAGCTTGAGATCCTTAAACTTAACTTCACACGTAAACTCACCATCTAACTTCAGTGGTTCACCGGATGCATTTTGGGCGGTCAAATTTGTGTGCCTGAGTGGTGGTCTACCGAGTCTCATCCATGATGATCGAGAAATTATGGTAATGTCCGATGCCGTATCTAGTTGCAACGATATGGGAACATTATTAATTTCAACGGTGAGGTACTTTCGCTTGCCGGCAAGTTCTGTGCGACAGGTCGCGAGAACTACTTTTGTCTTTGCACCGTTAAAGGTCTTTTTGGATTTAGAGTTCGTGTGCAATTTAGGGCCAGACATAGTCCTGGAATTGTAGGTGGTGTGACAATGTGATTCTTTGTGACCAAGCCGTTTGCACTTCTGACAGAGATGTTTCCTATAGGAACAGAAACGTACGAAATGCCATCCACCACAATTCCAACAGGAAGTTGGGGGTTTCTGGTTGGGGACTCTATGACTCACATTTTTACCGCGAACAGCTGTGTGATAAATTTGCGGTTCATTCCTAGGATGAGCATTTTCAATCATTTTGGTATCGTGCTTTAGATTAATCAGTCTCTGGCACTCAGCAGCAATGTCCTGTAATGTCATATGAGGTTCCTGTTCTAACTTATGCAGGATACGTGTACGTACGTCAGCATCGGCGTGAGACTGAAGACTACAAACAAATATGAGGCTTTTGAACTGATCAGGTGTCATCATACCCAGTTTGAAACGTTCACATTCTCGATTCACAACTGCAGCATGTGTTATATAGTCATGAGTATCACTTTTGACCAACTTAAAACAATGATAACGAATACTGAACAATGATGCTTGCTCACCGAAAATAGTCTTCAGTATTGTCACCGTCTCATCGAAGCGAAAGTCTCTGGGGTTCTTTGGCAGCACAAAATTCGTGTACCGTTCATGTTCGACTGCACCGAGTTTGCGCAACAACAACCGAACTTTCCATGCATCATCTTGTGCCTCCAATTCAATGCGGAAAATATCTTCATATTTCTTAAACCAGGATTCAAAAGTTACTCCGTTTGGTTCATCAAAAATGAACTCCGTAATGGATGCTGTAACTGCGTCTACTGAGATCCGTGCGCCAACATCTTGGGATTCTGGTTTAATGTTCAATTTCTGTGCGAATAAGTCGAACAGCTGCTTCTGGGATCTCTCGAACTGCACCTGCTGTTGATGGAGGAGCTGCTGCATCTGCTCAAAAGAAATGGCCATTATCCAACAACTCCGTCGCCAGAAATCTGTTGTGTCCCCAGGCGTTCGACTTCTTAGATTGCGCCCCACGAGTCAAAAAGACAACGCACCGGACAGGAGGTATATTTGCGGAACACTACACGGGCCGGCGTGGGTATGAAAACACTCTAAGTCCAGTTCCAATCACGGCTGAGGGCTAATTTGAATTTATCGATCTCAAAGAACCACGGGACGTGTGAGGGGTATGTAACAAGCGGTAGTAACAAATGTTCTGCAACATGGAAAAACACTAGTCTGCTTGTAACTAAGACTGTTCTAATGCAAGGCACACGGTTCCTTGTGGGAAATCGCGCACTTACCTTTCCGAACAAGTCAATTTGTTTCGTTTCTGTGCGCATTTGACTTTGGTCTGTGTGAAATTCTGTTTTTCCATCCAAGTTGCAGCTCCAGGTACCTACAGGCTCCTCTAGCTTACGGGTGTTGGTGACATGGTCTTATAGACAGAAAATATGCTCTAAGAGATAATACTTGCGATATTTGTCTAACAAGTATGTGTGTTTTTAATCTAAATGTGACAAATGATGCTAAAGGTTTTCTGTATTATCTAGGTAGACCTGACTCATGCGGTCCTGATATAACCTTCGTTAACACTTAGAAGCTTTATAATACTGAACTTTATATTTATAGTGATTAACGTGGCTCAGCATCCTCACAGAATGGTACGCTGTGGACTTCTAACAGTGGGCTAATTATAGGCTGTCATTGATTCTTGCATATGTAAAATTCCTTACTAGGTTCCTAGCGTTTTCGCGAAATATTATCAGTTCTTTGTCTATATTTACTAACTATGCCTAAAACTGCTTTTCGGCTACTTAGGTTGTACCTAGATAATGCGGAAAATCGTAGGCTATAGAGAGCATCTCAAGGGAGTTATGCCTATTTCGAAAGTTTACAACGTCACCACATTTTACATTTTCCTTTCTTTTTCTGACCTCTTGCAAAGCAAAGCTACTTTTCAGCGCAACATATTGGCGTCATTCGAAGACAAGGATCCAAGCGCAAACAGCTTGCTAAATACTGTAGTAACGCATTACTTGTAACGTAATCAGCGCGTAAAACTTGCTCTGAGTAACTTGTTTCTCTACTACTTCCTGCAACATGCTAGCTACAGAGAACATTTGCTAGATCCGAGATATAGACAGTTTGAATTTTGGCACCAAAATCAAACTTAACGCACGAAAGTGTGGTTACATTTTACGATAATATTTGCCTTCCTAGTAAGGAGCTAAGATTCAGTGTGTCTTTTGTTCCCGAGGACCGTAGCTGTTCCAATTCGAAATTGGATGTTCCTCGCCCCATAACACTGCACTACTATAACGCGTTTCATTAATATATCCTATCAGAATTTGTTAGCAAGCAGCGTACCCAGGACCATTGGGATGTTAGTAATTACTGCTATCATAAAGCCACCGGCTTACGGAAGGCAACGCTTGGGGATACCGTTTTTTAAAGGACCTTGAGGGTCATTTTGGGGTAAAAGTTGTGTTGGTTTATTGCGAAGCGCAATGCAAATGTTGACCGCGATTTCCATTGAAGTGAACTTTTGTCTCTCAATCACGAGGACTCTAGCTAGTGCAAATAGTAATTAATGGTTGCATGCCTGAATACACTGCACGACTATGAAGCTTCTCCATGTAAGCACATCTTATCAGATAGAGTGAGTAAGCATCGAACCTGGGATCATTTAGATGTTGGTTGTGACCGCAACCCCTGAACTAATGGGTCACGCCGGGCAACGCTCGGCACATTTTGAATTTGAGGCATTTTGAATTTGAGGTTGTGTTGATGGTCTTAAATGCGCAATCTAAATATTGGCCTACGTTCCCATTGAATTGAACATTAGTCTTCCCATCACGAAGTCCGCAACTGATGCGAAAGGAAATAGGTGTCACCCGCCTGGAAACACTGCACTACAATGACGCGTTTCGATGTTATTACATCTCATCAGATTGATTTAGCAGGCATCGTACCCGGAGCCACGGGATTTATTTTGTCTTCGCTTCCCCTAAGCCACAGGGTCATGATGTGCAATGCTTGACACAACGGTTTTACGAAGGAAGTTGTGGTTATTTTTGCAGTTCAAGTTGTGTGGCTGGATTGAGATGCTCTGTCTGAATATTGACGGAGATTCCCGTTTGAAGTGAAATTCGGTCTCTCAATCACAGGGACCGTAGCTTTTGCAACTAGAATTTGGGTGTTGCGCGCTCAACCCACTGAACAAATATGGCGCGTTTCGCTGTTGTTACATATTAATAGAGAGAGTTAGCAAGCATCGAACCCGGGAACGTTGAGATGTTAGTCGTGACTGCTACCCTAACTCCACAGGGTCACGACGGAAACGCTTGGCACAACGGTTCAATTACTGACGTTGCTAATAGCCGAAGTTGCGCTGGTATTTTCTGGAAAAGTCTTATTCAACATGAAGTTCATTACAGCAGTTACGATGCATGTAATTTCAAAAGGGAATCAAGCTGCTCCTTAAGAATATGCAATTGAATCCTCGAGCACCTCATGTTGAAGCTAAAGTGGTGCAGCGCACAAGTGTGTGCCCCTAGTTTTGACCAATTGCAAAGCAGTGGAAGGGTCCTCATAACATCCGCATCGGTTGGTGCATTGGTTGGGCTGCGCTCAGCCAACAAAGCACGTAATGCACAGGCGGACGTGAAAACAACACGCGAGCTCAATCACTGTAGGATGTGGTGCGGACTACCACGCGGCATCTATGGATGGTTGAGGTAGTACTGTAACTCCCACACACTCACTTACGCGGCATCAAGACACACAACACAGAACTGGGGGATCATCTGCGTTCATAGTGCTCACTGTTACGCGCAGACGGCCGGACATGAAATGCGCTCTACAGTGAGACAGTATCGATTGCCTTCACTGAAAATAGCTGTATGCAAGCTACCAGACAGGTCCGTCAACCTCACGTGGTGTGACCTAGACTTAACGGAGTTTACGTGTGATCGGGTGTGGTTAATAGTGGCTAGGTGAAAAAAGTACTGCGTGCGGTGCTTCACTAAGCGCTATCATGGAACGATGCGTTAGTTATCGATGGGTGTTGCCGAATTACCTATTAACTGCAATTGATCGGCCTTAATGATGAGGTTAGCATAAGCATCTGCACAGCAGTGCATGATGTACTGCACCGAGCTTTGCGGAAGTGTACCGCGTTAATTGTGATAACCTTACCGGGTTGGTAAATGTTCGCATTTACTGTTCTATATGCAATCGTTAGTATATTGCAGCCGTTGACAGGGTGAAGGAATACGTTTGCAAAGAACCGTCATGAGTTCGTATGAAACGAAAATGAAATGATAATCTAGGTTAACGTTAGAGCACTCCTAAAAAGCTGCCGAAATGCAACGCACTGGGTATGGCGAAACGCTGTTTGACTGAAGAGGTTAACCTAGGGAGTGGCAGAAGATTAAGTTGGTTGAAACAACCGAGAGTAAGACATTATGCGGTATGTTGTTCTAGCTCGGATTTCAGTCGGAAGTAGGCCCTCAAGAACATGGTGTTATCATTAGATTGCCAATGTCCACTATTTTGTACATAGTACTAGCAGACTCCAGTAAATGGTCAAATGTTGTTGGTATCAACTGGATGACAAATTGTGAACATAAAAGTGGATAAGAAAAGCTAGTTTGTGAGGAAGTTGAAATCGCTCACCATAGCGTGGCACATCGCCATTCCTTGACTGCTCTCTTTGTAAGAATTATTGGCTTCCGAACCGATATTTCTTCAACCGACTGACACAGATGGGACACAGCACTACAATTCCGATCACTGTGTTTCACAAGTAAAGCCATGTACACAGAGAAGGAAGTTGGGAACGCCGCTTGCAAGTAGACAGTAAGGGAATTGCTGAATAGTGGACACCCGAAACCGCTAGTGAAACACGTTTCACAATATGCTAAAACCACATTGAAAATACACGGCAGTATGGAATGGGACGATAAAAATATTATAGGTAGAAGGAACTTCCTTTTCCTTTCCGGCGGCACTAACCAAGGAATAACACTCGGGATCTGTTCAACAATGGTGTATCTGAAAGACACTTTTCGTAGATAAGATGACTAACTCTGTTCACAAATGTATTCACAATAAATGTGAATATGTGTGTATAGGAGATACCGCGAGCGAACTGCACACAACGCTGCTAGAACACCTGAGGTGCATGTCACGGTGACGTCTAAGTGTAATGGTCTACTTCGAAATTAAGCAGTGTTAGGTGCGGTGCATGTAAGGTGGCTAGATTATTGGTGAGCCAAAGCGAGACGCTTCCAGATTTCTTGCACGGCAAACCGAGACACTTAACCGACCCTCGTTTGTTTCGGCATATGATGACCGTACAACACATTAAAAAGATAAATATCTACATTTATTCTTCAATACAATAATAAAAAATACTTGCGTTATTAGTCAGTACAATGGCTACGTTACTGAAGTTTTAAATAAATAAATAAATGGTTTATTCCCGGTAGCAGGCACACAAGTGAAGGCACGACTAAATATAACTACAAGCATAGTTGCTTCGGAATTGTAAAATGCACTGTTAAAATAAAGTACAACCAACATTTTCGTAGTTTACACACTTTAGAAGTTCCTGGGATAATAGTGGGATCCAGGAACATCATGGCCCTGGGTTGCGAAAAAATGAAGTTTATTACTATGGTGACAATAGTCAGCGGTCGGCGTGATTTCGCCATGTTGTAATCCATGGTTTCTTGAGCACAGGAGCTAAAGTAAAATGTCGATACAGGTGTTTCCGAGTATAAGTTGATTTACTGTTTGACACAATACTATCTGGAACAATAGTTATCGAGCAATACTTAAATAAAGAAAGAACGAAACGTTTTATTCCCAACAGTGCGAGACCTGCCTGCTTAGTCATGATCATGGGGACACAACAAGGACTGCTTAATGTAAAAACGACACAAGTTTATAAGTGATAT